AAGTATTAGCACATATCTATATATAAATATGAGTTTCACTATATAAGCATCATAATGAATGATGACATACAAATCGCATATTCTGAACATGTAGCTAGCTAGGTTTGAACTGCTTAACATTCTAGTTATAGCAAATCACAGTGAAGATGATGGGAATATATATCGTAAGACAGTTCGCATAACATGCCTAGGATACACAATTAGGCTGTCGGGAATTAAAACTCTGTGGCTTTCGTCAGATAACGTATAAATTCCCTTTGTTATATATATGTGATCAAGATATATACATTAATTACTATTATTGTTATATGTAGAGATATAGGTTCCAGGTGGAGAGAATCATAAAGTGCCAAAAACCTTAACCACGACGTTGGCCAAAAGTTATTTTGTTTGCTTTCTTCCACATATGATCCGATTCGGATGCATAATGCGTTTTTCCATTTTATTATATGTGTTTAATTATGTGGACACATTCACATCTTTCTAATTTTTTTTTGTTTCCAGCTCGTTCCATTGAAGTTACTTAATATTTAATTTAGTGGGTTCAATTATTCGTGATCATATATCTCTTCTTATCTTGTATTCATAAACTACAAAAACATAATCGACACGGATCCACTTGTGTTCCTCAAGTGAAACTCACTATCCCCATTTGTTGGCTCAATATCATATTCGATTGCTAATTCTTATTTGATCACTCTTTTTAACTTTTTCGAAATTTCCCCCCATTTTTTATACAAAATAATTATTACAATTAAGGAAATAAAATAATTTCTTAAGTAAATAATGATATTTTTTTCTTTCTATGACAATATTATTACTTTTTTTTTTTGGTCGAAATGACAATACTATGACTTCTTTATAATTTTGGAAAGTAAAAGTAGTTAGTATATATACTAAAATTGCAAGATATATATTGGTAAATAAATAGATGACATGTTTGCGAATTTGGGATGATATATATTATATACAGAGAAGGTGGATAATTTTGACTTGTGTTCTTTTTTTTTTTCTTTTTTTTCTTATGTAACCGTGCTATATCTTTTTGTGTAGATCACAAAAAAAAAGTGAATTCTATTGGATCCGATGGTATTGAAAATTTATTGAATCGGGTGAGAAGTACTCAGTTTCCTTGGTTAAAAACTAAAAAGAAACCAAGGACCAAAACCGGAAGTTTAAATTTATTAATAATTAACAAATTTAAGTTGATGTTTCCATCATCATCACGACCACCAGTAGTTACTTAAATTATGTATGCTCCTATTATAAATCAGGGATAATATCAAAACCATGTTATATTCTACAAAACAAGAAATGGCATATATACTCTCACTATCAGACTTGCATTACTTAGTGGAATCCCTAGAATTCCTCCTAACTCAAAAGCCATATTTTAATTTTAAAATTCCCACGAAGAATAATAATACAAATTAAAACCCTAAAAACGTAACCCTCCTATAAAAGCAACCTCATCCCCTCCCACATTTCTCCATCAGCTCTTTCTTAATTACATCATATTGCAGTTTCTCACTTTATACCAAATTAAAGTACTTTGTAAGACATGGCTTTAGAAACATGGAAGCCATTCCTAACCGTTGTTTCTCTACAATTCGGATATGCCGGACTGTCCATCATAGCGAAGTTCGCTTTGAACCAAGGCATGAGCCCTCACGTTCTAGCTGCATATCGCCATATCGTCGCTACAATTTTCATTGCTCCATTTGCCTATTTTTTGGATAGGTAAATTAATAAAATTGTATTATGGTCATGCATGCATGTATGCTTTAACAAATACGAACGTAAATATTAATATTTATTTTTCTGATTGTTTTACTTTAATTTTGCTTTTTGAATCATGAACAGAAAAATTCGACCGAAGATGACACTACCCATCTTCTTCAAGATATTGTTGCTTGGGTTATTGGAGTAAGAGTGATTTTACTTTACTATTTTCACTTTTCACCATTCATATTTATTTCTTATGTTTTGAAAACGAATAATTAATGAGATTTTGTGTTTACATGTTTATAGACCAACAATTGATCAGAACTTATACTACACCGGCATGAAGTACACTTCCGCTACTTTCACAGCTGCAATGACCAATGTTCTTCCTGCTTTTGCCTTTATCATGGCATGGATCTTCAGGTATTAATAACTTTGTTTTGTTTTTGTTTTATGTGGTTTGTTTCGGTTTCTCGTCTAAAGATATAATTATTTGTTTTATGTCTAGACTTGAGAAGGTTAACGTCAAGAAAATACACAGCCAAGCCAAGATTCTAGGGACAATTGTGACAGTTGGTGGAGCAATGCTTATGACTGTTGTGAAAGGACCTTTAATTCCTCTTCCTTGGGCTAATCCTAGTGACATGCATCATCAAGACGCATCCAACCCTGGAGTCAAACAAGATCTTACTAAAGGAGCACTCCTCATCGCTATCGGTTGCATCTGCTGGGCCGGTTTTATCAATCTCCAAGTAATTATAAAAGACCAAAGTTTACATATACGGTTATATATAGTACTTACTATAAACCCCTAAAATGATTTGACTATGCAGGCGATCACGCTTAAGTCGTACCCGGTAGAGCTATCCATGACAGCTTACATATGCTTCATGGGGTCTCTTGAAAGCACTATTGTGGCACTTTATATTGAAAGGGGAAACCCTTCTGCTTGGGCCATCCAACTGGATTCCAAGTTACTAGCTGCTGTTTATGGTGTAAGATTAATTGACTAATATACACAATATATGGTTTGGTATTGGTTATATATACAAATCAAATTAAATGATCTTATTGTGTTTTGGATGCAGGGGGTCATATGTTCAGGGATTGGTTATTACGTTCAAGGAGTAATTATGAAAACTAGAGGACCGGTGTTTGTGACTGCCTTCAATCCATTGAGCATGGTCATTGTTGCGATCTTGGGGTCTATAATTCTTGCTGAGGTTATGTACCTTGGGAGGTACGGAAACTTTCAAAAAGCTCTTCAAAATAACTAACGATATTTAGTTACTTTAATCTCATTGATTAATTGTGTTAATAATATTTGTAGGATTCTTGGAGCAGTAGTGATAGTTCTTGGACTCTATTCAGTTTTGTGGGGCAAAAGCAAAGACCAACCATCTTCTTCGTTTCCGGACATGGACAAGGAACTCCCACTTAGTACACCACAAACTGTGACATTCTCGTCTAAAGCAAACGCAGAAATGGACACAAATGATGCAAGTGTGATGTCGAGGCCTAACACGAACGAATCAGTCTAAAATAAAAAGAAGCATCAACGGCGATTATCAAATTATAATAAGAGAAAACAATGAGTCTGAATCCCAAACACTGGATGGATCGTTGCTTATTAGTAGAGTGTTATTGTACTAGTGCTGATTTTGGCTTTGTTAAATTTTGTATCCGGCTATAATATATGAAGTGTTTTGCACTATTAAAAGTATATTTACTTAAAGTTATCTAGTGTTTTGAGTTCTCAGTCTACAACACTTCCAATCACTGATGGCCTTCCTACGTATATTTCCAACAGCTGGCCAAGAGACTTGCATGAAAAAAACAAATAATTATGTAATATGAACAATTACTCTACGTTTCTGTCTTTGTATACGTAATCTGCAAAAAAAGGTTTATTGAAAAGTAATATTTTGTAGCACGAGTATGATGTAATGCGGTGGTGGGTAATGGAGTATAATGGATCAAATCAACATTCTTTTTTTCTTTGTGTGTGAATTGGGACGTGTTTTAGAGATTCTGTATGTTGCGGTTTCTGGTCGCCACATAAGAAAGCATCTATGTTGAGAGATAGTTTTGTACTTTGATGTGACGTCTTTTGTACTTTAGTTATAGAAAGCTTCATGCTGAAGAGCATTGAGGTTTATGGTGCTGTTTTGTTCGAATATTCTACGTTTGTCATTTCAAGATCCTTTCAATTCGTCATCCTATACTTTGCTTTTTATTTTTTTGGTTAAAGAATTCACCATCCTACTTGACATCGTAAATTAAATTAGAGAATACAAGATTTGAGTTGACAGAACAGTAAAGAAAACGAATGAAATGAAGGAAATTTTGAATATAATATTACTTTATATTTTCTGAGATGAATTGTAATACCACTCTAGATTTCCATTTTGAAACAAACAAATCAAGATATGAAAGAGAAAAAAGCAATAGAGACTGTGAGTATTGGACCAAATTAACATATACCAAAGAGAAGTTTGAAATCTAATAGGGGAACAACTGGTTTTGGCCATCATTAAACAAAATATTTGTTTGATAATCAAGAGGGGATCATAACTAAAGAATCTGAATAGTTTATTTTTTTGTTGACAGAAGAAAATTAAATTTGTGAAATCTTTAAAAAGTAATATTAAAAATAAAAATAATAACAATGAAAACATGAGATAAAATATCACAAGTATGTATGCTTTGCTACTTTATGACTACTTTTTAACTCTTTACTAGTATTAAGCTAACTATAAAATATGATTTTAAAAAAGGTATTGTAAATGATATGGACACTAAATATCCACATCTGTTTTTCATAGAATATATGCTTAAAACAATTTAATTTCGAATAAAATTTGCACAATTTAATTTTGAACACTTGTAGGTGATTTTTATAGGATTTTGATTTGATGCTTATGTGTATGCATATTACACTGGTGACTGGTCTGGTTGAAACGAGTGTGAACTATGAAATCTACGGAAGAAGCGAAGCCATAGCAACGAGAGTATGGCTTCAAAACTTGAAAATCGATGCAGTGAAACGAAATAATATCAAAAGAATCTATGATCGATCTTCTCATATTCTAAGTAACCCACTTGGCCTATATGGCTATATCCAGTTAGGCTGATCTATAACTAATAGTAAAACAAGCTCTAGTTAGTAGTTCTGAGTTCTTGAAACTCGCCTAGGACCATAATAATCTCACAAGTACAGAGACTAAAGTATATAGAGCAGGAATCAATATTTGCGACTTGTTCTTAAAACTCTATAAAACTCGATCAAAGAGTAACCAGAGAGTATAGAGATCAGGAATCATAAAACAAGCTTTATTATGTATGTATGATTAAAATTTCATATAAAAATCTAATTATCCTCAAATGCTCACAAAACAAAACACACACACACACACAAAGAAAGCTGTTGAAACTGAATCTCTCACTCTCTCACTTGTCTTCGTCGATTGTTCCAAATTTCTGCTTGAACGATTCTTGCTTCTGCAGCCACATCATGTGACCCTGCCACAGGATTTATTTCAGAAAATTTAAGTTCAAAAATCAAAGATTTACGACGTAAGAAATCAAAAGATATAACAAAATCATGAGAAAATGCAAAAAAAAGATTGACCTGAAGACCAGCAGCCCAGACGATGAGCAAGGAAGCGACCCAGAATCTCTTGTCCTTGACGATCGTCTTCGCGTCGAATCTCGCCATTAAACCCCTTCCCTTTCGTTACAGCTTTCTCAGAATCCTGATTCCGATTTTGTTTTTTCTTTTTTCTCAACTTCGTTGGGCTTAGGAAAGTTCTTATCAAACTGGTCCAAGCCCAATACTCTCCTTAGTATAACCGGACCGGTTTATTGATTAAATTAGATTGATGAAAATAATGGGAAATAATCAAATCACCAAAGAAGAGTTTAATTGATAGGAAACTCAAACCAAACAATACTCTCCATATTAATTTTTATACAATATCATTATCATAATTAATTTTATACAATGGTAAATATGATTACGAATTTTTACTTTCTAAGTAATATATACAAAACACGCCGAGAGCAAACATACAAACCCTAAGTATTAATAAGAGACCTACCATTATTGCTCACGAGTTAAAAAAAAAAAAAATCAAACTCAATACTCTGCTCCGAAAACAACTCAGACCAAAACAATGGCTCTAGAATGGGCAATCTTAACCTACGCCACGTCTGCTGAAGCCATCATGATCATCCTTTTGACGATGCCAGGACTAGACTTTCTCCGTAAGGGACTGACCGTAGTCACTCGTAATGTCTTGAAACCGTTGTTGTCGATCATCCCTTTCTGTCTATTCCTCCTCATAGATATCTACTTCAAGTACGAGACTAGACCTTCATGCGATGGAGATTCTTGCACCGCTACTGAGCTCCTCCGTCATCAGAAATCTATCTTGAAGTCCCAACGTAACGCCCTCCTCATCGTGTCGGCTCTGGTTTTCTACTGGATTATTTGCAACGTTTTGAATATGGTCGTCAGGATCGAGAAGCTTAACCAGAGGCTCAGAAGGAACCAATAGTTTAAGATTAACCCGTCTCAGGTAATTTTGTGTTTATCCTTTCTTATGTCGTTTAGGTTTTTAGTGTTTTTTTGACTTTTATAATATAAGATTTGAACACCTTGATTGATCTTTCCCAACACTTAGAACTCAACAGTGTTCTTTCTTAATTATGTGTTTCTACACTCTGTTTCTCTCTGCTTTTGTTTTTTTTTGTTTCTTCTCTCAAAGAACTAATTAAATGGATATATAATTGTCATAAACTTTTTGACGCTTTGAATACAACTATTGCTTTGACTTGAACAATAGAAATTTCAACTCTGCCAGAGTTATTGCTCTAGATTTAATATGTATAAGGGCATCTCCAAAGGAGAGTTTTTAATGGGGTTCATAAGTTTTTTATGATTTAATTTAAATCAAAATAAATTAATATGGTAAGAATGGGTTGTTAAATTAGGGGTTTAAGAGGCAGTCTTTTAAGGTGATGTGGCTTGTGTTTATTGGATGTATTTGATTCAGTGTGTGATGTCTACAAAGTTTAAGAACTCCATACAAAGGTTTACCATTGGAAGAGTAAGAAAAAAACATTAATAAGAGGTTAATAATAATTAATTTAATTACAAAGTTTAATTAAAATTTACCTAAAAATCCCATACATGGGTTCACCTTTGGAGATGGTCTAAGTGGTATGTTGCTATCCTTACGAATATCCAATACTCTAGACGGTCAAATTATTAATTTATTGATTTCACAACGTCATACCGTCTACTGAAAAGCATTCAAGCAGAGCATACTTAATACTTTGCATTAACCTTGCTTTCTACTCTTACTGTGCGGACGTTTATATGAGCTTGGATGATATAAGCCAAGGCAGTTGCTTACACTTGTTTAATTAGACATAAAATCAATCCAAATCCTCCTCGATACCAAACCATATAAACTGAGGCATGTCATAGTTTCTCAAACATATATACTTTGAGAAACATTGTTGGATTTTTCGGCTATGACTTTTGACCTCTACTTTGAGAATTTCTACGGAAAGTGTCTGCCTTTAACAAAGATAAGAACAAAAAAAAAAATGCCAATCAATGAATGCAAACAAAATGAACCGATCACATACATATACCAAAAAAAGTCAAAATATCTGGTCTGCGTTTTACCAAGACAATTTTACTACTTGTAACCAAGTTTATTATTTCGTATGAACATTTGAATTGATCCAAAAATCCGGAAAGATGTTGAAATACGTATGAAGTTAAGACATCATATCAACATAGGACTTTTTCTTTCTTTCTCAATGTCATCATAGGATGTATGAACGTATTAGCTTTTATATATAAAATGAACAATAATTAAAAAAACAAAAAAAAAAACCTATGTACATTATATCAAGAAGTGTGTCTAACCACAAAAGCAGCATAAGCAGCGCCGAGGATCCCGTTTGTTTTTATAAAACCCAAATTCGTACGTACCATTGATGATATAGAAACGTATACTTTTTCCTTAAAACCTCTCCGTAGCAAATTCTAAGTATTTCACAACCATGGACGAACACAAACCAGACATCCTCTCTAGCTTACCGTTAGAGCTTCTCCTCCGCATCATCAGCTTCCTCCCTTTTGAATCAGCAAGACTTATCCCTTTCGTCTCCACACGGTATAGGTCCGTTTGGAACCAAGCCCTGCTCGTTGCTAACAGCCGGAACGGCTCCATCGAAGACATATTTCACGCCGTCTTACGCTTCATCAACAACTTCGACGAACACGACCCGTCTAAAAACACACGGAAGCATGAGTTTCACGTTGACAAGTCAACCTTCGTGTCCACAATTCTCGCACCTCATAACGTCTTGCATATGAGATTCTTCTTCTCTGATGGTTTCAAGGAAGAAGAAAGCTTTTGCTGGCGTCTTGAGATAAACGATCAGATGCCAAGATCTGTCGACTCAAGCGGTTTCTTGGTGAAGACGCTTTGTTTAGACTCGGTGAACTCATTAACCCACGAGGTTGTTTCCTCCATGGTTTTGGATTTTTCTTTACTTGAGAATCTCAAGATTTGTGGTTGCAAGGGAGTGACTTCTCTCACAATTGATTCACAAACTAACCTTCTTCACTTATCTATCTCGGATTGCCCCAAGCTGAGATATCTCGGTATTAGATCAGTTAAGCTTAAAACCCTTCATTACCAGGGATTCCTACCGTTGATCAAGATCCATGAACATTTCAACTTGACCAATGCTATTTTCGACGTAAGACAGGGCCCATGCGTTTACAACAATGCTTTAGACATCGGTCCTCTCTTGCTCATCATCAAGAACTCTCAAGCCCTTACAATTTGCAGATGGATGTTCGAGGTAACAAAGATAGTGTATATAATTAAGGTTCTTTATTATATGTCATCTATAGTTTGCGAAATAAATTGTAGCTAGACTACTCAAAATTTGGACCATATCTTGAGTTATATAGTACTATTTTTGTTTGTAGGAGCTTTTCAAACCGTGCATATCATCATCTTGGAGATCATTCCAGTTCTACAAACTACACGAACTGCGGTGGATTGATAATTCGATGAACCAAGAAAACATTAATTTCCTGATATCATTTCTCAAACTGTGTCCTTCAATTGAACGCCTCTTCATTACTGTAAGTGCCAAGCGCCGTCTAAAATATTTTGTAACTTTGTGTTATTTCAGGCTTCATGCTAATACCTTTTATTATTTCGGAGATCGATTTGAATACTTATAGTTCAAAAAGAGTTAGTGTTGATGCTGACCATGGAAGCGAGCAAGCAAGAGTACTAAGGAACTTGAAGTTGGTCAAACTGGAAGGTTCAAAGAGTGAAGACGAAAATCATGATCAACTGATATTGGCTCTGCAACAGATAGTCCAAATCGACCAGCCTCTGCTTGTGCTGTCTTCTTTTTCAAGAGACTGACTCTGGTTTCGAATGGGAAAGATTATGTCTAAAGATACACGCATGCACATGTTTTAATAAAATCTGCTGTCATTTTAACGCGTGACTACCTATTTCTTGCTGTACAAGAAACCCTCTCTTTAGGATTAGCCGATTCAAGCTTTTTTCACCAATACGTATTAATCTAATGTTTTTACTATGATTATTTACTTGAAAGCTACATTAATATGATTTTCGCAAGTATATGCATATGATAGAATAAGACTATATATAGTATTAATTAATGGATAATTGATTCTCGTGCACTTGCAACTTTAACATATAATTGAACCCCAAATACAGTATTTAGTTTAGGTGACATGTCGTTCTTTTTTTGACCTGTTCAACATGCAAAAGCATATGGTGCAGGTGGAAGCTTAATTTGTCAACCAAAGAAAAGCCTGAATAACAAGTCATTCTAAATCGATTAATTAACGATAAACCAACTAACACCATTTTGATATGATCATCATGTAACGTTTGATCATTAATTAAAGCAACGAAAACAATTAAGTGCTGTTTCCTTTTTTCATAAAAGAAAAAAACAAATCCACAAACATATAAGCTTCCTTTTTTTTTTTTTATCAAAAGATTAAAAAATAAACTGGGCTGATCCTTTCCAAAATCTTTAAAAAGAAATTGCTTCGAAGTTGCAAAAGAGATCATAGATGGACGGACTCACTCTAGAGGGAAATATAGCAGAATGAACGATGCTGAAAGTGAAACGAAACAAAAAGTTAATGAAGTATATATATTATGTGTCATTCCATTTCTATTGTATGTATGTTTGAGATTGCTGCAATAAAAAGAAAAACAAAATTTATACATTCTTGAACGAATGAGATGATGACACATAACGTGGACAAAAACGATCACTCTAATAACAAAGAGTAATCTTGTGACGACCAAACATGTATTGGACAGTTGCTCTCACCAACCCCCCAAATGGCTCAGACAGGCCTAATGGTATTAAACTTTTTTAGGACACTCTTAAGTTAAGAGTCTTAACAAAGACATTCAAAGCAAGTGTCCAATGTTATAAAACATGTTGAAGAATTGATATATAACACAATATTAACACTCATTTTCATTATTGCGTGTGCTTCGACAACACATACTACAAAAATTATAAAATATTTAGAAAAAATCAATGGACTATACGTACCATATCATTAGATAAAACAATTAAACTTGACTATAAGCTACAAGTAGAAAGAAGAACGAAATTGTGTTTTTTTTTTTAATATATAAAAACGATAAAGAGAGACTATTTCATTTAAGTTTTGTCAACAGTAATTAAACATGTTAAAAAAAACGCATAATCTGAATTATAAAAAGGTCTAGTTCGAATCAAACTATATATAATAGATAATGTTTATAGGTGTTTAGCTCAAAAGAGAAAAAGGGGAACAGATGAAATGAACTGGCAGGAAAAAGAAGCTCCCATGCTGCCTCAATGATACCTCCTGACCTGCCCCCCCTCTCCCCACTGGGGTAATAATGCTAATCTCACTTGTAGCAGCACTCACTCTTCTCTTTTTCTCACATCACCCGCACTTTCTTCTTCTTCTTCTTCTTCTTCACATAGCTGTTGTCGCATTCTTCATGCCACACCAACCAACACACGCACATTTCTCAAGTTTCTTTTTCTTTTTACTATTTCTGGGTATTTCTTTTGTTATTTGGTACTACTCATGAATATACTGTTACATATTGAGGTTTAATTAGTCTTATTATTTAACTGTTGACTTATATACAAGCAAAAGAAAAGTATCATAAAAAAGAGATTCTCGTGAATAGTAGTAATGTCTGATAAACTCGACAACCACCTTATACGTACGTACAACTTGTAATGTCTAAAAAAACTAAACTCGCATATTATTTACATACAGATCGACAAAGACGTTGCTAGATGTTGCAGTGAGGCTCCTCTGGTCCAGTACGTATTATTGTAACGTCTTGGTCGTCCAACTTATATACGTATTAGAACGTCTCTCATATATATATTCGAGCATAACTAGAGTTGACAGTTTGATCTGTCACTCTTCCTTCTTTATGTCTGTCTCTAGACTCTCTACCTTTTTTACTTACAATAAAAAATTTAAGTAACAATAAAACTAAAACTAATTTGAAGCTGAGAATAATTTTATTTAAATTAATAAAACGAGTAATACTCAAAACTCGTCGCCGTAGTTGACCGTTAGCAACCTTATCGGCGTATGTACTTTTGGTTTTAATTAGTAGATAAAAATTCACATTTATTATTCTTCTTAAGTATTATTATTTTAAATTGTTCATGTAACATCAGGTGACACACACAAAAAAACTTTCTATGTCTTTCCTTTTTATTTTTTTGAGACTTTGACCAATTTCTTCTTCTTCGTTCTCGAAAACCCAAAAAATAAAATAAAATACAACAAATACATATTTGTTTTTAGTTTTAATTTTAAAAAAACAAATCAAAACCAAAATAATAACGAGGAAAGAGGAAAAAAATATCACCGGAAAACGAATTCATCGGCGAATCCAAGACTTTTCCATATCATTCCCTCTAAAGCTTTTTGAAGCAGATCCGGTGGAAATATTCAAAATCGAGCTTAGGGTTTCTTAATTAGGGCAGACGGTGGTGATTTTATTTCCCCCCCGTCGTGTTTAAGCTAAGATGATGATTTCCAGAGGTTTGTTCGGTTGGTCTCCGCCTCATATACAACCGTTAACTCCCGTTTCTGAGGTTTCCGAGCCTCCTGAGTCTCCTTCTCCTTACCTCGATCCTGGTGCTGAGAACGGTGGTACGGGCACGGCCGCTCAACCCGACGATGAGGAAGACATGGACGACCCTGAGGAGATGGAGCCTCCTCCTGCTGCTGTCCCTTTCTCTCAGCTCTTTGCTTGTGCTGATCGCTTTGACTGGCTCCTTATGCTTTTTGGATCCGTTGCTGCTGCTGCTCACGGTACTGCCCTTATTGTCTACTTGCATTACTTCGCCAAAATTGTTCAGGTCCTTGCACTCCCCACTGAACCCGATCACCAGATTACTGATGCTCAGTTCGATCGCCTTCTCGAGGTAGGTCAGCTCGCATATGCTTCTTTCTTTGCAGGGCTTTCCCAAAATTCCTAATTTTCATTGGTGTATATAGTTATAGTAGCTAAGTGAGCTTGCGGGAATTGGAATTGGAGGTTAATGTGCTTTTCCAATTAGCAATTTTTGGATTTGGTTTCTATATAAGCCTGCCTCGCTGGAGCTTTTGAAGTTTTAGTATTAAGTTTTGGGATATGTAACCAAACGAAATTACTTTGTTTCTCCTTCCGATCGGGATTGTAATTTTAGCGAGGTTCTTGAACTTCTGGTAGAGAGGTAAACACGACAGGGGGAGTTATCTCCAAAAATTTTGTGGCACTCCTTGGTAATAAATGTATTAGGTCAAGAAGTGGAATAATATGACTTGTCTTCTTTTACATGTAGTATCTTTAGCATTGATATGATTTATCTTGAAAGATTCATGATTTAGCGGGTTGCAACAACATGTGAAATTCTCTTTATCTTTAGTATCTTTAAGTTGTGAAATTCACTTTATCTTTAGTATCTTTAGGTTGTGAAATTCTCTTTATCTTAAGTATCTTTGGGCTGTGAAGTTCTCTGATTTTTTGCCGTACATGTGGCGACTTTGTGAATATGCATATTGGCTTGGATTTTCTTTTGCATGATTTAGATGTCCTATGATTTGGAGGACTAGTCAGTATACTGTTTTTCATGTACTTGCTGCTTCTAAATTGCATATCAACCTGCAAACCAGCTGTTCTTGACTTAGCTGGGAAGCGTATTTTGAAAACCTCTTCTTTTACTCAAATACATGCTCAAAAGTACACAACTCTTCTTCCTAGTTTATGCTTTCGTTTTTCTCACCTCTAGGGGTTTCTATGTATGGTCTTCTCTTCTAGATGCCCATTTTTTAATTCTGAGGTTTATCTGTTTACAAACTTGTTCATCTGGATTCATGAAACACTGGCAACAATCCTGAAATAATGTGCCCGTCTAAGTTATTGATACCCTTTCTGCAGCTTTCGCTGACTATTGTATACATCGCTGGAGGTGTTTTCATATCTGGTTGGATTGGTAAGTTCACCTTTCCTAAAATCCTTGCATATATAATATAGTTGTGTTCTTCTTGCCTATACTGCAATGATGCTATTATTCATCTAAGTGTCCTTTTTTATAGAGGTGTCTTGCTGGATACTGACTGGAGAGAGGCAGACTGCTGTGATCAGGTCAAAGTATGTCCAAGTACTACTAAATCAGGATATGAGTTTCTTTGATACATATGGGAATAACGGGGATATAGTGAGCCAAGTGCTGAGTGATGTCCTACTCATTCAGTCGGCTCTAAGCGAAAAAGTATGTTTACCATTTAAAATCTGGTTTCAAGTTTGCTATTAAATATCTTTATATTTGTAAGGAATGATACATCTTCTGGCATTTCCTTAATTTTTTTATCATGGACATTACAGGTTGGGAATTACATTCATAACATGGCAACATTTATCAGTGGTCTTGTTATTGGTTTCGTTAATTGTTGGGAAATTGCACTCATTACGTTAGCAACCGGTCCTTTCATTGTTGCCGCAGGAGGCATATCAAATATATTTCTCCATAGACTTGCTGAAAATATTCAGGATGCATATGCTGAAGCAGCCAGCATTGCTGAACAGGTATTAGAATTTTTAAATTTATGGGGGACATTGTAGAGATATTGTTGATCTTTTCAAAATATTGCATTTGATTGATGAATTCTGTTGCAAGCATTAAATGATATGTTTCTGATAATGACAATGATGTTTAAGCATTGGAGTTGTAACAGAGACTTCTGTGACTTGTGAGCATCAAAGTTAATTTCTGCTGTGCAAAGTTTGATATCTTTTGCTGTTCTCTTATTTATAATCAAAACTTATTTTAAGTTCAGAACATATTAGGCAGAATCTATGAGGGTTAGACTGTATTTGGACAGGTCTGACATATTTGGTTACTTATCTTGGTTTAATGTGAGTGCAATAGGGAATCAAAATTATTCTAGGATTCATGTATAATTATTCTTATTATCCTTAATTTGAATATTGCATCAACTTGGATGCATGGTAATTACACGCCTGCTAGTCTGTCTTATGAGTACTGGTCCATATTCTGAGTTCTTCATTCTCGTTAGTTTACTGTGTCA